TGCAGTACTTGGTGTTTTGTGTAATGGTCAAGAAGTAATAAACATTTGTGTGTGTCATGAAAGAGAAAATCCTCCATGGAGCAGTAGTGTATTATCATGGATCTTTGGGCTGTTTTCTTAGGATGACTCTTGAGACCCTCTTTTAGAGCTCAAATGGCTAGATTTTAGTCCTCAAGTATGAATATGATTGTTACAAACTGAGACAGAAAGCACCATTCAGCCATTCAGAATGAACTAGGTTTGTCAACCAAATGAACATATGAAGTTGAGCTAGGTTTGGGATAGGAAGAACTTTATACTGCAAATCATTTTCCTGGTGTCCTGTGACCTACAGTATTTGTAAGTGCAGCTTTCTTTTCTACTGAGACCTTTCTTAGTCAACACTGATAAGAGAAAGGTTTCATTTTTACTATGAACCCTAACATTTCCCAGTTCTTAACCACCAGACCTTCTTATTCCTCAAGATTCTGCTCTGAGCCCTTGACCTTTTCTTATGTGCATTCCCTCAGAGATGTCATCTGCTTTCAATTTTTGTTGCCACTGATCTTCCAGATGATCTACATTTAATCCACATTTCTAACCTTCTTCTACTACACCCTGCTTTATCCTATGAGATGTCACTTTTTTGTCTAGTCATGAGTCAACCTGAAGCAAAACAAACTACCTTTCAGCCTTAGTTACCAAATATCCAACCTTAATAGCCAAATATCCAAATACAACTTTCATTAATTCTGTCTTTATCTCAGAATACCACATTAGAAGTCTGGGTGAATATTCCTTTTTCAAAGTATTTTTCTTCTTTCTCCAAGCAGTAGTTAAATTCTGAAGGTTCTTCATTACCTAAGTTTTAGTGTTTATCGACTCAGCTCAAATTGTCATCACCCCAGGGGCTGGGGATTTAGCTCAGTGACATAAGCGCCTGCCTTGCAAGCAGGCAGTCGTGAGTTCAATCCCTGGTACCGATAAAAAGGAAAAAGACAAAAAAAAAAAAAAAAAAAAATTGGCATCACCCCAGTCCTTATCCTTGTAAATTTTACTGCCAAGCCCCAAAGGCTATCTGTAGCACAGATACCAAAAAGTCACCCCTTCCCTCCTACCCACATGATCGTCTTCTGGCAAGTCAGTCTTCCTAAAAGATTGTTTTCATCATATCATTCCAGGGAAGGAAAAGTCAAGAAAGTAAAATTATTGAGCAGCTAAAAACAACTCAATTTTTGTTTCTTAACAAAATCTTTTCAACTAATGATAGGACATGTGTATTAGGATTTCTGTTTTACAGATGATGGGAGTTAGGGTTGGAAAGGTTAACTACTTGTTCAAAATCATGCATGTCTAATTATCATTGCAGCTAATATTTGAACTTGTGCACCCTAAGTTTCACCCTGTTGTACAAATAACTTCCAAAGGTTCTTAATTACCTAGCATATTACCCATGCAATCTTTTATGTTTTTGGTTTCTACAGTGAATAAGGTACTTCATTAACTGATAAAAGTGAGATTTTTGTCTACCAGGTGTTTACAGAGTGGGTAGAAAGATAATATATGAAAACAATTAATGGTGGAAATTTTTTTCCTGTTTGTTCCTTGATATATCTTCAGCTTCTAAAATATTCCATGATAGACTTTTTAGGGCTGCTTTGCATAATCAAGAAGGCTTAAAACAACAGAAATGTATCCTCTCACAGTTCTGGAGATTAGGAATTTGAAATGAAGTTCTTGGCAGGATTGTTTCCTTCTGGTGGCTTTGAGAGAGAAGTGTTCCAGTTCTCTCTCTAACTCCTAGTATTTCCTGGTGCATAGCTGCAACTGTCTGATTTTTGCCCCACTCCCCTTTACACAACCTTCATCTCTTGTGTATCTCAATGTCTTTGTATATTCTCAAACTTCCCTCACTTTACAAGGGTCCTTGTTACTGGAGTTAGCACCATATCCAATCCAGTATGAAGATATTTTAATTGATTGCATCTGCCAAGATCTTAGTTCTACATAGGTTATATTCATAGCTTCCAAGTGAACATGAATACAGAGTGGATGAACATTGTACATATGATTCCTATACCACCTCTACTATAATAGCCACTCAATAAGTTTTTTGAATAGGAAGCATGAACTAAGAAGTTTTATAATAGACATGGAGCTTTTAAAGTTCACACTAACTAGTTCACTAGGCATTTCTAACTAGTGATAAAAAAAGACTCCATAATTTGTTAACCCTATAAATTTAAACTTTCATCTCACTACATTTCAACACAAAATTTAGTTAATTAGTCTGATTTCTTCCCTAGCTTTCCCATCTGTGATACTGTATTCTTGTGTGTTCAAGTTCATTTATTTTCACTGCTTCTTAATTATTTACTTTTTCTCTCCAACTATTCACCTTGTATTTGTCTTCTAATGTCATTAAATATCATGTTTCATGGGTCTTTTCATGATTACTTCATGAACCCACTTTCAGCTATCCTTCATTTCTCTAAAGATTTTCTTACAATGCATTTTGCTCCAAATCACTTGGAGTTTCAGTTACCTGTTAGTGTGTTAGTGGGCTGTTAGTGGGCTGCTCCCAACATAATGGTTTATAAGTAGGGTGTTGTTCATGGTGATTCTGTAGTTTGGCTGAGCATTTCCCCAGCTAGGCTCACCTTGACTTCCTTGTGTGGTGTGGCCCCTCCAGTGCCAGCTGGGCAGGAGGATCAGAGACAGCCTCTTCACTGTCAGGCAGAAGGTGCTTACATTGGCTAAGGCAACTCCATGTCCTCCATGGCCTCTCATCCTTTACTGGGTTCTGTCAACTTCCTCCGGTGGAAGTCCCAGGGAAGTGCTTGAGTAATGTTTGGTGGAAGCCACACACCTCTTACTGAGACTTCTGCTCCGCAACGCAGTGTCATATCCATCTCGTTCCATTAGTCAACAGAAGTCACAAGGACAGCTCAGACTCCAGGGCCAAAGAAATAAATTTCCTCTCTTTGTGAAATAATGACAAGTCACATAGCAGAAAACAGTGGAGGGAAAAAGGAGAAAACCGGGGGTCAATATGCAGCAATCGGAACATGGTAGTATAATGTATATTGCCTCTTCTTACTTTACAAATGTATGTGTTTTATCCTAATTGGTTCCAATTTCATTCTTAACTTTGCTTGCCCTTCACAACAAACTGCTTGAGACTTGGCCCATCTTTCATAGCTTCTAGGGAAAACCCTTAAAATCTACCTATTTATGGTGGATCTGTTTTAGCACCTTCATAGTTTAAGTGTATTTTGTGTTAGCCAAAAGGCAGCAGGTACCTGAGGCTTTGGATGAGAACCTGAGTAGAAGCTTCTGAATGTTCTCCCTTCTTTTGAAGCTAGTCAAAAAAAAAAAAAAAAACCCAACAACAACAACAAAAAAAACAACATATTCTCTTCAAGAGAGATTATATTCTCTTCAAGAAAAAAGTAACAGGTGAGGCAATTTTGGAAGATAATGAAACCATGATTCTCAAACCTCAATGAACACATGCACACATATTTTTTTTTTCTGATTTTTACTCCTTCCAGTAAGTGAGAAGCTCTAGTTTCCCTTGTGATTCCCTATTTCATGCCTACAAGTGATGGCATGTAATAAAATCTAAATACTTTCATATGCTTGGTGCATGACATAGAAGTACTAGGAATCTAGACATGCTCTATTTAAAGTGTGAAATAGTCAAGAAGACAACAACAAAAAAAAAAGCCTTTAAAAACTGCAAGTATTTGGAGGAGGCTGTAGAATTTAGGGTAAAACGTGAGGAAATGTCTGTGTTAGTTTACCAGTCACTGGACAAAACACGTGGTATGAAGGAATTTTGGCACACAGCTTCCTAGGTTTCAGTCCGTGTTTGGCTGGCATTGTGGCAGAAAGGCAGAGGAAACTTCCTCACCTCGTGGTAGCCAGAAAGCAAAGAGAGAGAACAAGGAAGAGCTGGAGAAAAAGACAGGAGCCAAAGACAGAAATATGTCTCTATAGGTTACACTCCCAGACTACTTCTTCCAGCCTGGCTTTAGCTCCTGACAGCACATACAGCTTTTATCTTATTAACAGATTAACTCACTGATGAGGTTTGAGCCCCATGAGTTTATTAGCTTCCAAAATCCCCACTTCTGAATACATGAGCTTTTGGGCTGACATTTTTGATCCAAAACAGTGACTTCTCTAAGTCAAGAATGGACAAGGATATGATCTTCCTTTCTCAGTGTGGTAGAATGACGTTCTAAAAATTTAAAAAAGATTATTTTACAAAATAATTGTCATGGTTTTAATTGTATCCCTTGAAAAGATATTGAATTCCTAACTTTCTATACCTGCAAGTGGAATCTTGTAGGTGTTGCAGATAATAAAGCCCAAATAAGATCATTGGTGTGGGCCATAAGCTAATAAGCCCAGTGTCCTCATAAAATAGGGAAACTTGAACACAGAAGCATATGCAGGTACTAGAAAAAGGATATAAGCACGCTTGGAAAAGACATCCATCCACACCAAAGATTGCCAGCTTACTACTAAAAACTAGGAGAACAGAATTGAACTACTATGATTTGAATAGAGTTTGATAGCAGAGATCATTAGAGTCCTCATGACTGAATTATGGTGGCTTTACAAAAGCAGGGCAAAACCCGACACACATATGCAAGTATACTTCTGTCACTTGATGCCCTGCACTGCCCTGGACCTTTGTCAGCAAGAAGACAGTCACCAGATCCTGAGCCTTGTACCTGTAGATCCATGACCCCCACAAAAATCTCTTTTCATTAAACTTAGTCTGTGATTATTTTGTTACTAACAATGGAAAGCAAACTAAATCAGAAATAGATTGTCCCCCACAACCTTTTGTAGGAGCCAATCCTGATATCTTGACTTTAGACTTTTAAAGATTCCAGTGCTCTGAGGCCATTGTGTTGTTTAAGCCATCCCATTTGTGGTGATTTATTATGAGAACCTCAAAAAACTAGCACAGTGATCTTCATATATTGCTATTTCAGGACCTCCATGACCAGAGGAAATGAGAGACAAATTCTGGTGCCAGTAACAAGATGCAGATTATTTGATTTAAGAAGCAAGCATTTTACACAATCTAACACCTGAAGAAATATGAGCTTCCTTTCTGTCTCTCATTTTTGAAAGAAACCTTGTATTATGGGTTAGTATAATGTTAACCTTAATTTTTACCTTACAACCATGTAGCTCATAGATCTACCCCTATTTTCAGGAAAAACAACTTCTCACTAGTTTTGATTTAATGAATACGTAATTTTATTTTACACTTGTTCTGTACAACATGCTCACTTAGGAAATATTTAAAAGAAGCAAAAATAGAAAGAAAGTAGCTTTCTTTCCATGGAGAAGCTGATAATAATTTGTGGGGGATGCAAGACATTCATCAAACTAAAAGGCAATAAAAGGTGATACCTAATGGATTTCCAAACCAAGCTGTGTAAGGGTCCTTTAAAAGTCAGCATAGTGTAAACTTCTCACCAGAGAACTGCTGTGCTTAAAACTACATATTTAATATTTGCAAGCACACTATGCAATATTCCCAAAAGGGAAACGGTTACAAAATCAGATTTTGCTTTCTTCACCAGCCTTGGGGCTGCACGCGTGATCTAGCACCACACGTGTCCGTGTCTCTATGTACTATCCGGCGGGGAGTGGGGGGATGGGGGGCTTCTGACTCTGGACTTCCCAGTAAGAAAATGATTCCCTGGAAACAACAGAAACCACAATGTGGACTGTCAATTAAATATGTATGTTTTCCACTTCCAGTTAATTCATTATACATTGACTCTATCATTACATTTGCATTATTGTGGATATCAAACCACAAATCGCATACTATAGTATAAAGTGATAGGAGACAGAGGATGTAAGGATGTATGCATCTTATCCTCTCCTAGAGCTTTCAAAAATATGGATGAAATAAACAAACAAATAAAATAAAATTTGCTTCTGATATTAACGTCACTAAGAAACACAGTCACACTCCTAGTCACTTTTTCTGGCACAATATATTTTTCCTTCTTGTTGTGTTAATTAATTTCTATTGATCGTCAGCATGTGGTCTCCACTACTCTTGTCTCACATCACTGAGGGCTGTTATTGATTGCCTACATCAGGGCTCTCATAATTATTTGCAGAAAATTCTAAACCTTTGCTGAAGTACTATTTTTTTTTTTTTAACAACACCAGGACCACCAAACCTTACTGAAGAAAACTTTACTTCACCTGTGATACCTGGCCATCCTCAGAACTGAGATGGATGGACAGCAGAACCAGGATGACCTGATGAAAGCATTCCTGAGATGATGTTCCCATATCGCCTCTGTGCATTAAAATCAAATGCAGAAGTCCCTGCTCGCCTCCACCCGCACCCTTCAGTGCATTCTTCTCCTGGAAATCACTCACTGCTCTCTTGCAGTGTACCAATAAACTACTTTTCTATATTCCTTGATTATTGATTTTTTTTTTTTTTTTTTTTTTTACCAGCCATAGCACCAGACTCTTACACACCATGGCTGGCATGGCACCATTCTGGGAAGTAAATGATGGGGAAAAGAGAGAAAAAGGAAAAGAAGAGAAAAGAAAAGAGAAACAAGAGGGAGGGGGGAAGGGACGGAACAGAGTGGGTAGAGGGAAGGAAGGGAAAGAAGGGGAGGGAAGGAAGAAAAAGGAAAGATAGGATAGAGGGTATGGTAGGAAATAGAAGGGACTTGTATACTGTATGCTTCTTACTTGGGAACACCACGGTTAAAAAAAACATTGTCACTATCTACTATGCTACTGATGTACATAAATAGCATATGGTTATAGAGTGACTTAAAACATTTGTAGGACCTTATAACTTTGTCTTCTTTGATTGGCAGCTTGCACTGAGATTTTCCTGAACTTTGTTCATTTTGCAGAAATTGTATCTTCTGGGTAAGAATGAGTTAGAGTTTAATCTCTCTGAAAATGATCTAATCACAAAGGACACATGAATCAAAATTTCATATTCTATAGTTCTTAATAGATGAGTGATATTAGCCCCAAACTGGTGGCAGAGAAAACAATGTCAGAGTTTCTCCCTGCCCTTGGGCACAAGTGGACTGAGAAATCTGAATTCATAGTATTCCATAAAACTCAGGTTCCTTATTAGTTAGGTAAACTCATTATTACATGTCAAAATTAGATAAGCTTTACTAAACTTTACTGAAGTTAGAATGTTCTTGACAGAACTAAACAAAAGATTGAGCATCCAGCCTGGGGAAGGTATAGGTCCCAACCCAGTTGGATGTGGCCAGCTCCTGTAAAGAGATGCCCCAGAGATGTGAATGTATAATCAACAATGCCCAGACCTGGGTCCAGAAATACTGAAGTGTCTCGGACTTAGGCTCACAAATGAGTCTGCAGCTCTGAAGAGGATGTCTATTCTTGTTTGAGAATTGCCAGGGATAACATTTCACATCCCGGTGTTGAAGACAGGCCATCCCATTAGCCTAACTCTGTGGAACAATTTTGTTTTAGAAGCATTCTGAAAATGAAAGCACAATCTCTTTTGACTGACAAAAGATTTTGTTAAAGCATTCAAATATAAGATCAGTGTGACCTTGTGTGTAGGGAAATCATTCTTGAACATTTGCCTAGTTCTATGCCTATTCAGGATTCACTGCTTCTTATTGCTATTGATTCTATTCACTAATTCAAAATGAATTTTCAAGCACTTTTGTATGAGCTGGAATAAGGGCTCTGGATTTACCATCATAGATCTTATTAAGGGGACATAGATATTAACTATAAATAATACTGCAAGGGAAATCCCATGGTGCTATAAAAATAATAGTAGGAGAAAAATGTTACTGTGAACTAAGTTACTGTGGATTCCACTTAAGCTGAGACCTAGAGGTTATGAAGATACTATCTGTAGGGAAGAAGAGGGCAGCCTTCCAGCTTCTGACTTCACAGTACGGAAGAGGTGAGCTGGCTGAAGAAAGTGAAGGAATCAGGCAATAAAGGCCAGAATGGAACAGCAGTGGTGAGGCAAGGAGGAGACAAAGCTGGACGGACAGGTAAGCGGTGGTTACCACACGAGGCCTTGCAGACTATGATAAGAAATTTGTGTTTTATTCTAAATGAAAGCGAAGTCATTAAAAGACTTTCCTAAAGTCTTTAAATTTAATTAATTTCATTTAAATTTGTAAAAGAGCAGTCTACATAGTGCAATAAATGGGTTAGAGAAAGAGGCAAATGGCCAAGAAGGACACAAGGAGACCTCGGTGGTTTCACAGTCTAGACTGAGAGATGGTGACGACTTGGAGAGGGTTATGGTTAGTGGGTGGACAGGTGAGTTTGAAGGTAGACTAGTTTTGTGATGGGGTATATTTACAGAGAGAAGATGAAGGGATAGAGAATGATTCCAATGGCTCTGATTTAAGTATGTAGGATATAAGTATGTGTTTACTGAGCTAGAAAGCCATAAGGGAATTTTAGCTTTCAGGGAGAAAATCAAGAGTTTAATTCAGGTCAGGCTAATCTGGGATGCCCAAGCCACAAGAAACAGACATGAAAAGTAGGTGGTTGGAGAGCACACACTCTTAAAGGATCTCTGCTGTGCTGTGCTTTGTCTCTGCCTCTTTACATAGCTGCTTTGAGTTCCAGCTACTCCCAGATCAGAGGATGTGGTCACCAAAAGGAAACTCAATATTTTCCTTTAAAAAGTCACATTCATTCTGCTGCGCTTGACCTGGCAGCTACAAGGTAAACCACTGCCAGGGTAAAATTTTAATACAGATAACAAACTGCATCTATTGCCCACCACATCTGCCTCCTGCTTTACTGCAGCAGAGAAGGCACCACATGTAAAGCAATAGACCACCTCACAGAAAGAGAGGCAAGTGGTGCTGGGCCCTCCAACAGTGAGATATCTCAGATGGGAAAACTAAATTTCAAAAAGTGGAAGAAGACTAGAATGTAAGGTCAGGGTACAGCTCCTGTTTCTGAGGGATATCAAACAGCATTAAGAAGAAAGCAGGAGAGGGGAAAACAAGAACAGTGCCATTTTGGAGAACTTCAGAACTCCCAAATAAGCCAAAGTCCTCTGTCTTAATTAAATATCTGAGGACATGTATACTGGGCTCTCTAAATCACAAAGAATCTTTTTTTTTCAGTGGGACAATAAAGCATTTGAACAAAATATCTAAAAGATCAGTTGATGGTTTTAAACTTGTATTTGACATATTACTAGAAAATCAGTGTGTTCTACTTAATCCTGGCCATGATCTTACATATGTCATCCCCATTTTACAAGTAAAGAAACTGAGACATGTCTATAAAACCAACACTGTGGGAGACTGGTGCAGGAGGATCACAAGTTCAAGGCCAGCCTTGGGAACTTTGCTATAGCTTCTTTCAAAGTAAACAATAAGACGCTCACAGATAGAGCAAATGCCTAGCATACAGGACACCCTGAGTTCAACTCCCAGTACCAAGACTCAGAGAGAAACTGAGACTTATAAAGCTTGAGAAATGTGCTCAAAGTTATATATTTATTGAATAGTGGAGGTAGAATATAATCCAGCACAATCTGACTTTCATATTAAAGTGTTACCAATGAAAATGTATCTCAAATTAAGCAGAGAAGTATAAACTTGAAAACTAAGTAGGAAAGTAATTGATGAATTTCTTGGTAGTCACTTATATGACTTTGCTTTAATATTAATAGTTCCTATATTGTATTCATTAAAATATAATTTAAATTATCATAAAAATCAAGTAACTAAAAAACTCTCTTTGACAAGCAAAGTATAAAGGTAAAAAAGAGTATAAAAAGAGAAAATGTGCTTTAAATTTAACAATAGTTTTCATTTTGATATCTAAATTGAAGAGTAAAATATGTATTACTAATTGTTTATGATTACAGGCAATTCATCACCTCTTTTCCAATAAGTAAAGATTCCATGAAGACAGAAGAAAAAATATTTCAGGATAAAATACCCAGAAGTCTATATTTCCATCCACTGGCCTATTTGTGTCTTCTGAGTTCACATTCTTCTCGGTTATCTTTCTTTTACTCAAACTATTTCTTCTCCCTGTGTAATTTTAATGTATACATATTTATGGCTTAGTACATCTTCAATATCATACATATACAGTGTCTGATTCATTTCACTTGATTTAATAAATTGTTGATTCATACCATTGAATTGGGGCTGACAACATTGTAATATCCAGAAATAGCCTCCTAAATCACATATTTTCTCAGTAAACACATCATAACCTTGTTGCTCTTAAAATATTAGAGAACACTTCGGACCACATTTGGCGGTTGGTGGAAACAGCAAAATCAAACCAACCAAAATCAAGCCAACCAAAGCATAATCCTTCTTTACAATGACACCGAGTATTGCACTAAAAAGGTGGAGACAATCACACATCTCCTGCAGCTGAGAACATGTGTAGGATGACACAAGTGTTTTGGCACTCTGTATATGTCTACATGATCACAAAATCACTCTGCACTATAGTAAAGATTTTTTGTTTTTTCTCTGCTTTTTCCTCCTCATCAAGATCAGCACTGTCCACTAGAAATGCAACATGACCCATAAATGTGAGTTAGTGCATTCAATGTTGCAGTAACCAAGTTTAAAAATTTTATTTCCTCCAAATGTTTGAAGTCTAGCATATATTTTATAGTTGTAACCTACTTCAAACTGCAGTAATTTCAAGTGTTCGGGGGCCACATATGGCTTGTGGTCGCCATATTGGAAAGCACAGCTTTAGAACGATGGCTGGGGATTTAGTCCCCACTTAACATCATTCAATGAATTCATTTACTCACTGTTTTCTATATTCCACACATTAGCCCAAAGAGTTTATATATTTTATACCATTCTAGTCATAAAATCACCTTTCTATTAGCTGTTGTTGTTAAATATACAGTTGTAGCTGTTGGATGTTAAATATACATCCAAGATACACTACATTGTCCATAGTCACAGAATTCCAGAACAAGAATTTGAAGGCTCAACTACCTGACTGGATCAGATCTCCAAATATGTCCTTATTAAAAGACATTAACACTTCATTAACACTTCATTTAAAACATCCATCAGTATTAGCCGAAAGAGGGAGTGATCACATGGTGTACTAAGTATTTCCAATTTATCCAAACTTAGACTGTATGGCTAATCACTGTGAGAACCAGGTAATGTTCATGAGTTTATATGTCAGAGTACTTTAGCAAACCAGATCTGCTTACTACCAGAGGCTAATTAAAAGGACTGGCAGCACTGTTGTCTGAGCCCTGGATTGTGAAACATAATACATTTTTCACTGTTTTTGTTGACAATCAGATATTTTGCATTGTTGTTGAAAATGACATGAGAAAAGCCATTGTTATTCTTGGAAGCCTAACAGTCCCCCTCATTTTCATCTTGTGTGAAAGACTTTACAGTGTTTTTCCTTACTG